AGTGTCTTTGAACTTGGCATCCAATTTACCATTGTCTAGGCCAGCCACAAACATTTTCTTGAAAAGTTCTACTCCAATGAAGTTTCTTTGACTTCCTGTATCTATCACCTTTTTTATCTCTTGGCCATTTATTCGAACAGTTTCTTTACCTTCAGGGTCAATTGAATTAGCAAATTCACCTGAGTCTGAAGAAGGTTCTTGAACTGTTCGCAGTTTTGTCCCTTCCTCATTTGTATTAAGTTTCTTTTCCTGATGGGAACCGTCTTTCTTTCTAAACACTCGTGCATAATGTCCTGTTTTCTTACAGTGTAGACATTTTGCTGTTCGCGCTCCGCATTTATCTGCTTTGTGCGTTGTTAGTCCGCAACGGATTAGCTACTACAACACGTTACATACTGTATGTGTGGCTTGGATATATATCTGTAAGCAATATAATGGCTTCTGTTACATCTTGTCATGTATATCAGGTGTCATAGGTTGCGTGGATTAGGGGACAGCAGAATGAATGAAGGGTTTTGTGATCCTTTGCATCTTTAATGGAGAATTTGAAGAAATAAAAATCTACTGTACTCTTTTAGAAATAAACTTCTGAAAGTGTTATAGATTTGCCACATTTTAATACCATCTAGAATTAGTAAATTAACATTAATGCTCTAGTGGTTACACAGTATGTGTTTATAAACAGTTTAAAGTCAGAGGAAGAACACTGAAAATACTAAAATATTCCTTAATTTAGCTCAAACAATAGTGGGGTTATCAGCCATACACTACAAAACAGCCCCATAGAAAATTTTAAGTTGTTTATGCTTCTACACCTAGCAAACACTGAATGGTATTGTGTTGAAAGAGCATGGATTTTGGATATCTCCATGATTATTTGTAATACTATCAATAAAGCTACTTTTAATTCCCCTGAACATATGTACTGTAGATATACAGGAATCAATAAAAACAAACAAAAAATACTTGAAAAATGTTATTTCAATCTTTAAGTGAGATTACTGTACCATGATGATAATCAGCATCACACTAACTTTCAAATAGTAAGTTGTGATCAGCGTAAATGTACTGGAACTTAGCAGCATAAGTTGCCAGGTACTGTTGTCTTTTCCTGAACAAAGCTTTCAAAGAAGCAATGCTTATTAGAAGCATCATTTCGAAGCAGTGGCATAAATGGCTTGGAAAACTATTTTCTTGTCCTGCTTGTTCTCCATTCGAACATCAGAGAATCCAGTAGCTCGCAGGGCCTCCATGAAGACCTCGGGTTTCCAGTTATCATTTAGGAGAATGTTTGATGATGCTAACTTCATGATTGAGGAAAGTCTGAGAGTTGTCACCATGAGACCACCTGTCAAAACACACACAGAAAAATTGCAGATGGCACATTACAGAATTATTTTTAGGATTTACAATCATGAAATTAGTGTAACATTCACCTCAGAGGACAAAAATAACAAAGGATCCCTTTGTGGCTTGGTTTCTGCTCACTGTTTTTTTATAGAGATTAATTGTAGTAATATCCCTAAAAATATGAAAACATCAGTCAAGGAACACTGTGAGTTCAGCCACAGTCTTCTTAGGTTTTACTGAGTCTGAATACATTGGTTTCTTTAAAACTAGCTTTGTATCTCCACTTATAAGTTCTGGAATCAGCTTTTTTCCAGCACCAGAAAACAGCTGCCTTCACTTCAGCCCACCTGGTTTCATCACCCTGTGGATTTCTGAGGTTCCAGCCTTCAGGTCAGGCCAGAAATAGTAGCAATTGCAGTGGTAGACCTTGTCAACACAGCCGTCAGGCAGGGGCATGGCCATGATGTTGCCATTGAAGAGGGTAACCTTTCCAGATTCAATCTCAGCCCTCATCCTTTCACTGGCCTTTGTGAACATGTACTCAGAATAATCAACCCCAAACAGCTTTCCCCTAGGGCCTGTGAGGAGAGGAGCAGCTGCCTGGAGCCCCAGCCCGAGCCCAAAACCCAACTCCAGGACTGTGTCATCTGGCTGAATCTCAGCGAGCTTCACTGCATTTTCTTCCAGGACGCGGTTGTGCCATAAGAAGAACTTGGTCAGTAACCACCCAGTTAAGGATTTAACAGGTTTTCCAAGTTGTTGGTTGAGCTTTCTAGACAGCATTCCTGTAAAGAAGCAAAAGAAATGTACACATACATTGTGAATTACCAAATATCTAATGTGTGATTTGAAATTGTTACAGTTAAGGACAATGTTAAGCATAAGAAGAATGGAACTTATTTACATTGTCCAGGAAATGATTTCTGTGAAGATTTTAAAACATCTTATCATCATTATAATCAGTCCCCATGTGCATATTGTGTCTTGATCATTTGCTGAATGTTGTTCAGTCCAGTACTGGATGACTGAGGCTACAGTATATACAGTAAATCCTTACAACCCAGTCTTCTACATCCTCCAGCAATTTTATTCATGATCATCCCTTCTTCATGATCAGTGTTTTCTTCTATCATGATACCAAACACTGCTCTCTTGATCAACCTGTCATTGTTTTTCTGGAGAGATGTTTTAACAGATTGAATTTTTTGTCACCATCTGTCATAATGTTCTTTTTTATTATTTCTGACTTATTTATTTGTTTTGTTGCCATGATGTTTAACACTCTCCTGTAACTTGTTTTTAAACGATTAAAACATTTTTTTTTTAAATATCACCATAGTAGACTAGCAAATACTAGTTTTTAAGTATCCCAGTTGTTGATAATCCTAGAAAGATCATCTAGACTTTAATTTACTTTGTCACATTCTGGGAATTATTTTCATTTTAAATCTTATTCTGTGAAAACACTTTAAGGTCTGGTTCAGAATTAGTTTCTCCAATACTGTCTTAAAGGGATATATTTGAATACAAATAGATGTAGAACATAAACAGTTGTGTGAACACTGTCTCACAAGCCTCATAGTTTTGCTACTAGATGGGGGATGTAGGATGTGACACCTGTTCCCAGCACAGTGAGATAGTAAAGTAATGAACAAGGCAGTAGACCTTAAAAGACAAAAAATACTTGAATGTATTAACAGAAACACACTACGTTTGGAAATATTATTTACAAGAACTGGGAGTTCCTGGTCCCAGCCATTTGCAGGACCAGAAAACCCTGAAAATGAGATACAAAAACAAAAGAAGAAAAGCTTCTTCATAAAATGAAATATCCTACTCAAGATAAAGTATCTCCTTAGATTAATGCTAAAATCTTTCTTCCTGTAAAAAGTAGTGCCTCAAAATTCAAATGAGATATTTTGTTTAATGGATACCTCAAAAGGAAAATAAATATTCACATAGCAACATAAGACAACAATCCCTTTCCTAAATCTGAAGATTATTTTTCAGTGCTCCAATGTCTTGGAAGATTTTGTGTAGTCTTGCTTGGAAAGAAGAGAATCTACTCACTGTACAGTTTCTTAATTGGCTGATAGATATAAAGTAAGTTCTCCTTACTTTTTCTATTCTGATGGAGACTATGGAGAGGCATTTTTCCAGTGTTGTCTCTTTATAACTGTACCATCCATAAACTGTTGCTTTACTGACCAGCCAGGAATGATCTTGTCATTTCTATAGATTTCTATACCTCCCTGACAACCTGACCTCTGGCCATTGTGGCTGAGTTGACAACACAAGGTAAGGGACAGCAGATTGTCTGCCTGTAAAAGTGAGATTATTTTTCAGCAGAGTCCTGCATAACATCTACCAATCCATTTTTTAACTGCATCTTCAGGATTGCGGGGCAGCCTTCTAACAAGCAGCAGGATAAAGTCAGGGAACACCTTGGACCAGACACCAGTCCATTACAGGGCAGATTGACCAAAACACAGACATGTACACACTCAAACCAGGGTCAATTTTCCAGGAAGCCAATTAACCTATCAGCCCCCATAACAGCAGGAGAGTTAAAGGCAGCACTTTGGTCCACGGAAAAAACTGCTAGGACCTGACTGGCTCCCAAAGGCGTTTTATACCAGCTTCTGGGACATCCTGGCAAAGGACGTGGTAGAGGTAGTACAACACATCTTTGAACAGGCCAGATGATAAGGAAGGGAGTAATCTCTCTTCTGTTCAAGGTGGGGGACGCATCCAACCTCAAAAACTGGAGACGCATCAGGATACTCTGCATGTATGTGCAGAAGCTGTCAAAACTCTTGCCCAAGACATTAAGGAAGGCTTGCATCGCATAATAACCAGTGAATGGACATGCAGGGTAGAGGGGCAATCCGTCAGCTGAAATCTACAGATCACACAAGACATCACTACCTGAGCAGGGGACAGTAACATACCCGTGATAGTGGTACACCTATACCAGGAGTAAGCTTTCGACGGAGTGAATCACAGCTACCTTTTCAGGGTGTTGAGACACTTTGGAGAGAGTTTTAGGCACCGGATAGAAGGATACTGTATTGATCCATTGATTACAGCTTCCCATTTAACACAATAGTTCCTACCAGACAAGTCAGGAAGCTTAATGACCTGGGCATCAATACTACTCTATGCAGGTGGATTATGGATTTTCTGAATGGCAGACCACAGATTGTGAGGGTCGAAGGAAATCTTTCTTCCACACTCACCATCAATATAGCCGCTTAGGGCTGTGTGCTTAGCCCCTGCTTTTTTTCCTTGTTTACCCACGATTGTGTGGCCTGATACAGCTCCAATTCCATCTATAAATATGCTGATGACACTACCACCTTTGGCCGAAGCATTGATAATGATAAGACAGCTCACAGGGATGAGGTCAGGAGCCTGGTGGAGTAGTACATTGACAACAATCTCTCCCTCAATGTCAGAAAAATCAAAGAGCCGTAGTGCAACTGTCACTGCCTGCAATAGCATCCAACGGCTGCTAGCTGTCACTCTATGATGCCTTTTTTTAACTAACAGATACCGGCTACTTTAATGCTAACAGATATTTGTATATTCCATGTTTGTTTTACTACCTCATTTATGTTCAGCAAGTGAAACATATACCCATACTGAGTTGCATAGAGAAGTTCCTGTGTGGCTTTAAGGATATAATTTAGTTAACTGTATTATTTAAAAATAATATGGAAGCTAATTAGTACCACGGAGTAAAAAATATTTATTGCATTTAAACAAGATAGTATTGCATTTAAACGTGTTTTTTTGCAGTTTCAGTGACAAGTACAGTACGTCTGTATGTATTCCGTTTAAGTGTTTACAGAGTAGGCAAAAACTATGTACCTATGTACAGTACATATTTCTGCAGTATCACATCAAGAACATACTTTTGGAAAGCTGTGTAATTTCTACTTGCTACAGAAACAGCAAAAACGACAATCATTTAACCTGGAAATGCCCACTGACAAGGTGTTGTATGTAATGTACTGTATACAAAGGCAGTACACGTGCTCCTTTAAAAAACAAATCCAAAAAGAGGAATGTGATGATATTCCTCTGTTGTTAAAGCCAATGCTACTTTGCATGGGACAATATAATTCCTTATTTAATACAAAATATCAATATGGTAGGCAAACTTGTTCACCAATTAACTATTTTGTTTATGCACAATACACTCTCATTTTGACGCAATAATTTTCACGTTTAAATGCAATACTATTTGAAACTTATTTTTTTTTCTTTGTGGTTAGTAAACTTCCATAAAAATCTTCAAGCCACGTTTCACTTGCTCTGTAGCAGTTGGGACCTACTGTAAGTTTCCAGGACCCAAGTTGTACTGCACCATAGGTATTCAGGAAAATATAACCCTTGATCTTCATCTACCACCACATCGTCTATTCTTGTTTTTGTCTGTATCTTACTTAATCTTGTTAATTTCTTTCTGTTTAAGTGTTCTAAGCACTGTTATCACGTTAACAAAATGTATTCCCAAGTTTTTAAAAGACACAACAGTGTCCGTGCAACAGTTCAAAATTATACTTCAGTTCAATACTTCAATTAAAATTTTAAAAGGGTATTTCACCTACCTTAAATTTGTTCAGAAATGAAAGTTGGAAACACCACCCTCTGTATTTTTTACATTCTGGTGACGTTATTTGATTAATTAGTAACTTTTAAGTCTAAAGTGACACATGAAGCAACATACCTTTATTACTTCTTTCTCAGAAACTCTTTCTGGCCATTTTGTAAAGTCATGCCTTGCTGCTAGATTAACAATTCAAAATACAATATCCCCAAAAGGGAATACCAAAGGAATTTCCAAGTGAGTTATATTTGATATTATATTTCTTAAAGTGAGCCTACATTCATTATTGTATGGGCTAGAAGGATGATTCCATGTTATGTTCATTTGTAGGAAAAGTTGTTCTATACCAGCATTTAAGCATAATCAGAGGTGAGTGGAAAACCAGTTTACATTTATTCTGCCAGAACAATTGTACACACAGCATAATTTAAATGCTGCCTTTTTAAACCTCACACAGTTCTTTTTTTCTGAAACACAGAAAGTCAAAAGGGTTGTACATAACATGAACAGAAAATATATATACAACTCATTTCCTAAACTAGGAATAAAGATGGACTATCTCAATTCCTGTCTTCAATCAAAGGGATCATTTTACAGATTAGAGATTGAATTGTTGAGCTGACCTTCTTTCACAATGTGGGTAACAGTATTTTTCTAAACCCCAACTGGCCAGGACTGCCTGACCACTCCCAAAGGTTCTACTTTTGGCTCTGATCTCTCTCCTCCTGAACCGATCTTGCTGGCTTGGTGAACCACTTGTCTTTGTGTCTTTAGGTTTAGCTGGCTGAATCAAAGGTGCAGCTGTCACATGCACACAATGCTGTGTTGGTCACATTTGGTGTGTTTCTACAAGAAATCAGAAATATATAGATACATTTTTGGACTATTACATGACCTTAAGCTGATTTTATTGCATGTTTCTTGTTCTGCACAAGTCTTTCTGCTAAGCCATTTGTGGCAGTATGGTATGCCACAGATGTGTTGTGCTGAATTCCATTCTTTAATTAATTTATAAAAACCATGAGCTCTCTTCTGGTATGATACCATACTGTGACACTGGAAGAGTAGTGTAGAGGATGAAACATAAGAGAAAAATATGGAGCAGCTAAAACCAGTGACTAAATTAAAGCTAACAGGCAATGTAGAGGAGCAATAGAAGTGTTTCAAACAGTCCTTTACCCTCTGCTTGACGGTAGCTGGAGCAAATGAAAAAGACAATGAAAAGAAAGTCGTACTGTTTATAACTGTCGCAGGGTCCATTTCAGTCCTTTCGTACTCCCAAAATAATGAGATATATGAAATATATGTTTTCAACAGCAGAGTATAGAGTGAAACAGAGTCAGTGGAAGCATTTATCATGCACTTGAAACTGAAACGTGTAACTTTGGGATGCAAGAGAAGGGAGACTGAGAGAAATATTTCTCAGTGAAACAGAGTTGATCCATGATAAAGCAATTCCGGTGTGCCAGGCCAAAAGAAGTGACACAAACCAAAGTCCGTGGATGGGAACTAGGCTAGTTCAGTTTTGTTTATTTATCATCTGCACACATGCAGTGAAATGTTTGTTTGCATCTGTTCTAATACAAAGACATTAAGGAGGCACCAAACATAAACACAGAACAGCAGCAGAAACAACTGCAAAATTAAAGGAAATACAACTTAACTACAAGTCAGCCAAGAATGTGCAAAAAAATCATCAGTATGAGTCATTTATAGAGGTATAATTCAATAGTCTGACAGCTTGGAGGATCTGTGAATCTGGAGGTACAGTATGTGCCTTTATGCTCTTACTGTATACCACCCACCAGATGAAAGTGGAGAAGAAAAACCAGGGTGATTGTTACCCTTAGCAACACTCCCAGCTGTAAAAATGTCCACAATAAAGGGAAGCTGTACTCCAATAATGGACTAGGTTGACCTGATCACCCCCTGAAATGCCTTTCAGTCAGACAATGGTTGCTGCCAAACCACAGTCAAATACCACACATGAGCACACTTTCATAAGCGCACCTGTAAAATGTAGTAAGAATAGTTGAAGATAGACCATTTTTTAACTGTCTGAGGAGATAAAAGTGCTTCCATGCCTCCTGGTCCCCACCCAGATTTCTGAAATAGACAACCATCTTTTTGGTTTTGTTGACATTGAGGGAGAGATTATTGCCAAGGCACCACTCCACCAGGTTCCTGACCTCATCCCTGTAGCTGTCTCATCCTTGATAGAAATACGCCCTACAATAGACCCAATGAGATGGTGTTTAAAATCAATTAAAGAGAAACATAAACAGAAAAAATGGGCAGAAATCTACAGAACAAAGTCCACAGTGATGCCAAGACCCTATCACCAGGAAACAGAAATGAACAGAAATGCACCAGGTGTAGCAGAGGTCACAGACCATGCCAATACCCAGCTTTCAGAAAGGACTGCAGAAACAGCAGTGGAGAAAATCACATTGAAAGAGTCTAGATGCCCAGGAAAATATGCAGTGTCAATTTAGAAAGCTGCTCCAGCAACATGTTAGGGGACTTGTTTGTGGGAACAGCTGATTGGACTGCTATTTATACTTTGAATGGGACACACATCACACTCAAAATGGACACAGAGGCTCAAGTCAATACCAGAAACTGAACTGTCTTGGTTAGAGGTAAAAGCTACCATAAATAGAAAAGGTAAAGTAAAGAAAAAGTAAAGCACAGTCAGTGTGTAAGTACTGTTACTTAGTTTGTAAGTAACAGTACTTACACACTAAGGCTAAAAAAAAAGAGTGATTTCTGCAATTTTTCCTGGAGGCTTCTTTGCACAGAACATCCTGTCAGGATACCAGGAGGGGATTTGTCAGGAGACAGCAGACAATGCTGTTTATAAAAAAAAAAATTGGTTTATCTAATAATGTACATTATGATCACAAGATGACAACAGTCCATCTGATATGGACTGATCTGATCTGATCTGAAAAATATTGGTCTAATTTCCCATGGATTAGCTACTACAACATATTACATACTGTATGTTTGCTAATGTTAGTTTGTGTAAATTTTGGTCTGTGGAGAGAGTGATATCACAAATCAGTTCACATACAGTAGTTGGTAATCCTTCATGTCCAGAATCCTTTAAATGAAGAATTGGATGTTATGATCTTTCTATGAAAGGACTTAGCTGTGTTGTCTGGTGTGTTTGGATAAAACAGTGAAGTAAAATCCGGTTTTAAAATTATTTGATCTGTTTCCTTTCTGTGTAGTATGTTTGGTAGTAATACCACTAACCTGTAGGACCTCTAGGGTCAAAACACTACATTATTTGTTGTGAGATCCCTTCAACATCATTTTGTTAAACTGTCATTTCAAATCAAGGTGATAAAGCTCCACTTTTCAAAAAAACATTCTTTTAAAACCTAATCAGGAATTAGCAGTCACATTTACTTTTTGAAAAAAGAAATATGATTGACTAAAATAAAGTTCTTATTTCAAAAGAAGAGCTTTTCTTCTGCTATTGCTATATCAAAGAGGTTAATGTTTTACAAACAGTATTTTGAAAATACCCAGTAAAAGTAGAATTGTATCAGCCAACTAAAATTATTCTGATGCAAAACAACAAAGTAGTAATAATAGTAATTTGTCAGGGGGTAGAGAGTGAACCACAGGATCCAACTGTTACAACTTGTCATATGTTGTATATCAGGTGTCGTAGGTTTCTGTGGATTCAGTGAACATCGGTACGAGTGATGGGATGGATATCATACTTTTCCAAAATATTATCTTTCATTTTAACGTCATCTTTGGCATCTGCAATCTCCATTTCCCTATAGGACATTTTGGCTTCTTTGCTGTTAAATCTGGGGTAAGGCGCAGCACCTTTATCACTTCCCTTCTTCTGGTGCAGAGATACGTAACAATCCTGTCTCCAGATAGCAGATGGTTTTCAGTCTCCTGAGCAATACTCTTTGAGGACATCAGCTCATTCACCACGACCTTCTGGAAAAACTGTATGTAAAATAAAAATCTGCTCTTTTAGAAATAAGCTTCTGGGGCTTAGCATGCATTCCTGTACAGTTGTTACTGTTCAATAGCATGCCACGTTGTTGTAGTACTTAGAATTCCTAAACTAACATCATTGTGCTGGTGGTTGTATGGCTCAAAGAAACAAGATGAACATTGGGTATACGAAAATGATTTTCAAAATAAAAAGGATATTAGAAATAGACTGTAAAGCCACACCCATGTTAAGTCATTGTATATTGCCTAGCAAACATGGAAAAGATGCAGTGGTTGTGGAATCAACAAGATAATGTAGAATGCTACATAAGGCTATCCACTGAACATGTGTAGATATGGAGGATGTGTAAAAAAATCACACGCAAATAAAAACAAAATTACTTGAAAGGTTTTATTTTAATCTTTTAGTGAGGATGCTATACCAAATGTGATCAGTGTAAATGTATAAATGTATAGCAGCATAATCTACTAGGTACCGTTGTCTTTCTCTGAGCACAGCTCTCATAGAAACAATGCTTATTAGAAGCATCATTTAGAAGCCGTGGCAAAAATGGTTTGAAAAGCTATTTTCTTGTCTTTCTTATTCTCCATTCGAACATCAGAGAATCCAGTGGCTCGCAGGGCCTCCATGTAGACCTCAGGTTTCCAGTTCTCATCAAGAAAAACATTCAATAATGCTACCTTCTTGTTTGTAGAGAGTCTGACAGTTGTCACCATGAGACCACCTGCCAAAACACAATTTTTAAAATTTATAATCACAATAAGTGTAACATATACAATAGTGGAAAAAAATGACTTAGTGCCTTAGTTTCTACTCACTTTATTTTATAGGGATCCATTTTATTATCCCTATAAAAAGTGAAAACTTCAGCCAAATCTTATCTTAGTTCTAAGAGACTAAAACTGGGATCCTTAAAGGCAGCTTTCTAACTCCTCTCTTTAAGCCCTGAAATCAGCTTCATTCCAGCACCATAAAAACAGCTGCTTTGTCAGGCCCTTCAGCCCACCTGGTTTCATCACCCTGTGGACTTCTGAGGTTCCAGCCTTCAGATCACGCCAGTA